TTTCGGGCACTGCTGTTTCGAGATGAGATGTTCCACAGATCATTTCTATACAAATATAAATCTAAAGAGTTGTTCAACTATTTTATTAACTTAGATTATATCGTTAAAATATTTGTTGTGTGTAGTAAGACTCTGCAGCTTTAATAAAAATAACAGAAAATTTGAGTGTTGTTATTTCTTTTTTTTTGAGCTGGGCTGGATTTTTTGTTTGTATTATTTATTTTATTTTTTGTAGCAGGGTTTCTACACTTTGTCTACGGCTGATGCCTGCTGGATCCACTTAAGGTTGTGTTTCAAAGCAGTAATGTGAGAACACTTAGGTCTCAGTAAGCCTTGCAGAGTTCTTCGTGCTAAGGAGAAATTAGATAGTGTTGTAGGAGAAATTAGATAGTGTTGTAGGAGAAATTAGTGTTGTGTGACACTGAGGCCCTTTGGTGTTTATGAGGATCTTTTGAGGCTGGTGGCCCACAGAGAAATACATTTGGGTGTTACTTCACAACAAAGACAGAGCCTATCTGATCTCAGAGGAGATCACGTAAGATTAGGGTCTCCTAGAAAGGTAGCTCGTCCTGATTTTGCTCTGGATTATTGAATCCAGTATAATATCACTAAAGCCAATCAATACTTGCTAGTGTTCAGGAAGAATTAAGTTCAGAGCCTTTCCTGTAAAGACTGTTGTCACTTGCTTCTTAAGCAAAAGGCAGTTTCTTAGCATTGTAGTAATACTAAGAACAAGAGAGGTACACCTGGTCAGGCAAAAGTGGACATTCGGTATCTTACTCCCACAGAGAAAAGTAGGGGGGGTTCAGGCAAGCAGGGAATGACCTCGGCATGGAGCCTTTCCAGCTTGCAGGAAGGTCCAATGAGCTTTGTGTGAGCTTGCCTTCAGACCCCTCTGCCTGACACCGACCCACAGACCCATTCTCCGTGAGTTTGCCTAGTCCCTTTTTTTGACTCTTTGGCCTCCATCAAGTCCCAAAGCAACGATTTTCACAGTTTAATTCTATGCTGTGTTTATTTCAAAACCCGTTGCCTGATAACTTCATTGGCTGACCACCATATTGTGAGACATATGAATAATCATTTCCTATCGCCTCTTTTTTCACTATTCTTGACTTTAAAGACCTATATCATATTCCTTCCAATTTATTTTTTCTGAGATGAATAGTCTAAGTTCCTTCTTGCATGAAAGCTGTTTCACACCTCTGATAATCTGTTTCTCATCTCTGTAATTACATCTCTGTAATCGTTACCATTTTCGAGAGTGTCACTAGAACTGCACGTTGTGTTCAAACGTACTAAAAAAAATAAAGCTTATATCACAGTTGAACAAGTCTGACAGTCCACTCAGAAGACAGTTGGCATGTCCATTCACCCCATCAGTACTAACATGTAAGGAACCTCACCTAAGCATATGGATATCTATTTGTCTGACTATTTTTAATAAACTTGTCACCTAAGGGATCTCTCATCCAAGTGGCCGTGCTGATCAATGACAACATTTTGCATTTTGCAATGGATATTCTGAGACCCATTTTTTCTTTTCCTGCTTTTGTTGTCACAACTAGCGTTGGGGACAAAACGTTAAATCAATCTTATTACCAGTGAAGTTGGAAACTATACAGAGGACACAATGAGATCATGCTTGAAAAGTATAGTTTGAGGGCTCTGTGATTTAGCTCTTCTCAAGTGATATGCTGACCTCTGGAGGCCATAGGCAGCTGGTATAATTTTCATTCTTAGCCTAAAATATATCCCTGCCAGCACAGGCAAGAAAACTATGTACCTGAGGAAACTACAGCTATCATCTCTCTTCACCGTCAGTGGCTCCTTGCAAATATTCTGTCCAGCTAGAGATGAAGTCTCAATATCCCTGTTAGTTTACACAGCTTGGTGGATGTCACCAGGATGCTAATGCAGGGTGGAGGTGCACAATCGTTCTTTGTGTCGGTGCGTGGGAGCACAGTGAGCTGCACATCACCAGACAAGGTAGTACCAACAGCTTCGTGGCAGATGCCTTTAAAGCTTTCCAGGTCATCATGCCCTGCCCTGTCATTGCAATGACCCTCTCAGAGCCCCTCTTCTTTTGCCCCCTCTCCTTTCCCTGAAAAAATATACCTCAATAGCACTATTGTACGACCAGGGCAGAGGAGTGCTTACGGCTTCATGAACATCGACTAGTTCATGGCAAGAAAATTTTGCAGATGATGACAATCAGCTATAAAGATGATTTTTCTGTAGTCACACGCTAATGATGGAGACGAACAGGTATCAAAGGGAGTGTCGTACGCTGGGGAGACTGGGACTCCACTCCATCCCACGGTGCTGCCAGCTGAAGGGTCTCTGAACGAAGACCACGTGTTTCAGATCACAGGAAGCCATCTGCTGATAGCCCTGACTGCGCAAGGGGCAGTGGGAGATAAAATGAGCTTCCCTTTGACAAAGTAAACCATGATTTTCACTTTTCAGAATTGCTATGAAGAGGTTTTGAGCCGCAGCCTGACCATACACACATGATGGTGTAACTGACTCTAAAATAACTGCAATCACAGAGTTACACCAGCATAATGATAGCGTCGATGTGGTGAGAATCGATGGGTATCATTACAAGTAAGAGTTTTGACACTTGTGCCCTAAACCCTTTCCAGTGTAATTTTTACCCTTACTCAGGCATGCTGCAGAGCCAATTTCCACAATTCCACCTCACAGAGAGGTTTGGCTGAAAATTTGGTGTAAGGGGACTTGTTAACATGTGGGTTGAGATTAGGTAAGAGTGTCAATAGTTCAGGGAGGCTTTGTGGTTTTGCACTAATGAGAGCAAGATCCATGTTTTGTTCCCACCTCAGAAAGTACTTCCTGTGTGACTTTTGGCAAGGTAGTTAAATATTCTGCTTCTCAGTTGCCCGCCTGTAAAATGGAGATATTATCACTTATTCTGTAAAATATCATTTAAAACTTCCTAATGGAAATACACTCATTATTTTGTGTAATGTATCATTTCCACAGGAAGACACACTTTAAAACCTAAATGAATATATTTATTTGTAAAGGAAGGATGCTGCAGGCTCCACGGTGGATATTCTTTTGTTACAAGACCACCAGTTTTATCTACTCTATGTAACTTCAGAAGGGGCTTAAGCTGAACTGGAAAATGACAGCTTGTGCCAGAAGAAGAGCCTGCACTTGAGCAGTAGTATTACTCTACCTGTATACTGTCTGTTGGTGGACTCTACCTCTACCAGTCTGTTGGTGGACTTTTCCCCGCCAGATTCCTAACTCTTGCTCTCCAGATCCAGGAGGAGAGAGAACAGATTTCTCTTGGAATTAGTGTAACCAACACTTCACCTCCGTCCTCATCTCAAGTATGTAAGGACTCTCTCCTGAAATCACAAGAAAATAAAATGTTCCAAAAACAACGGCAAAAATAAAAGCAAAGATGATTCAAAGGCATAGGCAAAAAGCACAATAATCTAAATATGACTTCATCAGCTGATATTCAAATGCATTGTCCTTTATATGTTTTCAATATCAGCAGTATTTTAAAAGGCATATCATCCTTCAAGATTTCCCTTCTTCGTCCCCATTATTCAATGTCATGGTAGGAAGATGAGAGCATTACCATCGATATCACTTTTTTAATTCCATGCCCTTGAATAAGGGCAATAAGAACTGCGCATAATAGAGTTTTCAGCGGAGAGAGTAAATGGGAATCGGTTCTTAATTCAATACAGGATACAGAAGCTGTCTCTCCCATCTCTTTTTCTCAAGGTAATACTGTGCCTCCAATTGTCATTATACCCAAGAATCAAATTATTTGAATTCTGGACACATCAGCACAAAACCGAAGACTCCCTGCCAATTTCGTTGCCTGCTTGGAAGAGAACATCAGAGAGCATCACTCATTTATACGACTGCCAGCCTGAGACTGTAAATTCAGAAAACAAGAAGGCCTCAGGTGCTGCACTTTAACATGTCTTTTTGCTCCTGAATCACCCCCCCTTACCACCCCCATCACATACAAGGTAACATTTTATCTCCAAAAGGCAAAGCTTTCAAGCATCTGCCAGGACGAGCATAGACTCCGTATGGCCTGAATGTGAATTGAAAATGAGACTATTAAGTATATTAATTGATAACAGTCACTTGTGACTTTGAAGGAGATTCATGACACTTGGAAAAATAATCTATAAAGATTGTTGTTGCTCTAAAAAGACAGTGCAGCATCAGCTTATTTCACTTGCAGCAGGTTCGTCTCTCTTATAGAGCATACTGCACTGCAGGCAAAGGGAATTTTAATGGACACTGGAAAAAATGATCTATTCCTCTGTCCCACGACAAAAAAGAAACCATAAAAAGACATAGAACAGAGAGATTGAGATATGATATCAGAAAACATTTAAGGAACTGTAATTAAATTAAGATTCAGAAGTCTATCAATGAGATGAAGATTAAACTGGCAGAAAGTTGAACCTTGTTTGAAGCAACTTGTTCCCTCCTGCTGTGGGTTGTTTTGTACCAGGCTAATGAGAAGGCACATCTCTGAAAGGTTCTTAATAAACCAGCAGATCTCTGACGGCTAATTAATAAACATATTTTGCAGGAGTATACCATGTGCCGTTTAATGCTTTTCAAGTGCCTTGCAAGCATTAATGCATTAATGCATTACTCTTTCCTTTTTGAAGCTACAAGCCCCGCTCCACAGGTGGGGAAACTGAGGCACAAAGTGAACATGACCTGCTTAAAAAATCACACGGTAACTCAGCCAAACTTCTACGAGAGCAGAAGTTAGATCTCTTGGCTTGAGTGTGACCATTCAATCGCGGATCATTCGGCAACCGCTGATGAAGCAGGTATGGGCACCTCATGGGCTGACCTGTCCGACAGCGGGGATCTCAAATACACTCTGAACGTCGGAGAGCAGTCTCAAATA